CCGTTGGTACCATATTTACTATTTTTCATGACCATCTTAACCTTTCAAAGGTCTGTGCAAGATGGGTGCCGCGAATGCTCATGGCACCTCAGAAACAAGTGCGAGTCGAGTGCTGTAGGGAGTTTTTAGAGCTCTGTGGTGAAGATCCATCGAGTATTTTCAACCGGATTGTTACTGGAGATGAAACTTGGGTTCATCACTATGACTCTGAAAGTAAGCAGGAGTCCATGCAGTGGCATAAAAAGGGTGCTGACCCTCCGAAGAAATTCAAAGTCACTCCATTGGCCGGAAAAATCATGGCCACAGTGTTTTGGGACTCAAAGGGAATTTTGTTGATCGAGTACACGAAAAAAGGTGAAACCATAAACACAGCATCTTATGCAACCACTCTGGGTTATTTAAGAGAAGCAATTAAGGAAAAAAGGCGGGGAAAACTGACTGCAGGTGTGTTGCTTCTTCACGACAACGCGCCCGTTCACACGGCGTGTGTTTCGAAGGCTGCAGTGCGAATAAACCACCCACCCTATAGCCTGGACCTGGCCCCCAGCGACTACTACCTATTCCTGAATTTTAAAAAAGATCTTTGTGGAAAGCGATTTTCTGACGATGAAGAGCTCAAGGCGGCAATTAACGCACATTTTTTAGACAAGGAGGAAGGTTATTTTTTACAGGGAATTGAAAAGTTAATTTATAGATGTAGTAAGTGTATTGAAGTTATGGGGGATTACATTGAAAAATAAAAATTATTTCAATTTATTATTCCTTTTTCTTAATGTTGATACCGAGAATACATTGAATGCCCTCGTAGGATGGAGCAGATGGGGAAGCAAGCAGCAGAACATCCCAAGTGTGTGCAAATTTCTACTTATGCAAGTTGAATCCAACCACATGTTGCAGATGGCAGAGCTGAGGCTGGGATAGTGGCTTGCCTAGGGCTATTTAGCATTTGAAGGCAAGAACTGAACCAAGGATTTCTAGAGTTGTAAGCTGGATTTCTAATTGCATTAAACTGGCTAGAGTAATAGAAATTTTATATCTTTTGTGGGAAGGTCAAGGTAGATTGGCCCCACTTTTCCCCTTCTTGCTTCAAGTGCTTCCTTGGCACATCCCTGTTCTTCTCACTTGGTGCAGCATGTATTTTGCAAGCTGAAATTAAGGCACTTCCACAAAGGCAGCTGTGTTAACCTGTGGCAGCCAAATCAATAAAATTCCTTACAGTGCTTTAAAGGCAGATCAATCTATTATGACAAATGTTTTTGTGGTCCTAAAGTTCACTTAATCAGGTGTGTCAAATATGAAATTGTGTGTAGATCACATAATCAAAGTATTACATAAATGACATCATCCATATAAGGCAAGTATTCGAAAATAGAGAAGGAAAGCAAGAGGGTCTCTGGCGGATTGCAACTTTTGTGGAACTCCCTACTAACAGAGCCCTCCAACTTACCTCTCTGCTGTTCAGTAGGAGGCTGGCAAAGCTTCTGAAGAACTGAGGTAGCTGCTGATATTCTGGCCACATCTCAGCATTCTTTTTTTTCTTTTTTCTCTTTGAACTATCTTGCAATTGGCTTTAATTCCATGTTTTTGATTTTGGTGATGTTAATAGTTTGAACAGCATCATTGCATTCTTTCTTTCGCTAAGTGGCCTTCTCTGTAAGTGGGTTTAGGGGACATTAATGTTTTGGAAGGCAAGTTGGAAATGAGTAATTTCTGTGGGTCAGGGGAAACTGACCTTCATTTTGGATCCATTGTGAGTGTGTCTCTAATATGTAGACAGGCTGGCCAGGCTAAATCTGTCCCCTTGTTTTGTTTTTGTTTTCAGAGGTAATCCTAACTATCCTCTCTTTCAGAACAAACAAAGACACTGATGTTTTTTGAAGGATGCCCTCAGCACCTGGGTTGCACCATCAAGCTACGTGGTGCGGGCGATTATGAGTTGGCTCGCGTGAAAGAGATTCTTATCTTTATGATCTGCGTGGCTTATCATTCCCAACTGGAGATATCCTTCCTTATGGATGAATTTGCCATGCCTCCAGTGTTGACGAGAAGCAGCTCTGTTCACTCCCTGATTGAAGGGCAGGGGGAAGAAAATGGGCAGCAAGAACTGTTCTACAGAGAAGTCAGCACAGCAGGAAAAGACGTGGATGCAGCCTCTGACAAGTTGCCTGTTATCGCCGAATCAATATCTTCAGATGAGATAGGCTCTCTGGAGTGCAGGACATTGACAGAAGAGGATTACCAGGAGAGCACTGACCTACAAGAACCTTTCATCCAGGAGCAGAAAGCGCTTCTTTCAGTGGATTCTTCCAATGGAGCAGCACCCTCTCCTGCATCAAAATTAGTGCCGGAGCCATCATTAGGCCTTGACCTGACTGACCAACAGCTGGGGATATCAGAGAGCAAGCAGTTGGAGAATCTGGGGGCCATGGATGACTTCCAGGAGCCCAAAAGTCCAACCAGGGAATTTAGGGACCCCTTGCAAGATGACACTGGATTGTATGTTACAGAGGAAGTAACTTCCTCTGAAGATCGCCTCAAAGCCTTCTCTCTGGCATTTAAGCAAGAGCTGAAAGATATTATTCTGTGTATTTCCCCCATAATCACATTCTGTGAGCCCTTTCTGCTAACAGAGAGAGGCATGAGATGTCCTACCAGGGAGTATTTCTTGGAGCAGGTCTATTTGTCTCCTCGGCTGAACAAAGAGTACAAAGAACTTGACAGCAGAAGGAAAAAACAGCTATTACGGGATCTGTCAGGATTGCAGGGAATGAATGGGAGCATCCAAGCCAAGCCTGTGCACATCTTACCTTCTCATGAACTTGTTAGCACCAGAATTGCCGAGCATCTAAACAATAGCCAGAGTTTGGCCAGAATGGTGGCTGACTTCCGGGCCAGGGGAGGAAGGATTGTGCAGAAAGACTTGGACCCATTTGCACAGTCTAAAGAGACATCTGCTGTGAAATTTGGAGCTAGGACTGATGAGGACGAGAGGGGGTTTATGCAGAATGAGTCTGTGTGGTCTCATAAAGTAAGTGAGTGAGTACTTTAAAACAACTTTTGTTTGGGAGTTTGGGGACTTTTAGAAGGAAGAGGATTCCCCAGAATTGTAAAGCATTTATTGGAATGGCTGAGGCTCACTCTCTAGCGGCATTTCTTGTATGTTTTAAAATCAAACCTCCTTAACTCATTGCACCTTACAACCCCCCACATTCACTGGCAGCCATCTCTGTGGAAAGTACATGCTCTGAATCTTCCCCCAAAAGTGTGTGTGTTTGACCAGCTGCTGTGTGAGTACAAATATGTGAGTGGCGGCAGTGTTTCAATACAGGACTAGACAAGACTAGAACAGGGTATCTGGGGATCCTTTACATAGCTAGCCAGCCAGGGAAGGAGGCAAGAGGGAGAAGAGAGGGGTGTGTGTGTGTGTGTGTGTGTGTGTGTGTGTGTGTGAGAGAGAGAGAGAGAGAGAGAGAGAGAGAGAGAGAGAGAGAGAGAGAGAGAGAGAGAGAGACAGTCTAGTTCCAGAATGCAACAAATCCAAGGAAGGAACAACAAAAAGGCCCTTTGAAGCCCAGAGGCAGAATCACATGTGTGACCTTGAGATGACTGCTTTTGAGAATAAACTGACTGTTGGTGAGACACCTGCGGAGATGCATTTGCATGCAAATAAAAAAATCACTTTATGCTTCCTGCATCATGAAATACTGGTCTGCTTTGGCATAGCAATATTCCAAACTCCACCTCTAAGGCCTTTCTGTAATCACTGAATGACTTGTACCATTCTGCAAAGTATACACTGATTTGAATTGCCCTGGGGTTGCCCACTGTCTTCTGAAATCTTATATTGCACAGTTGGAAATTGTGTATTAACTAGTTTCCTGGGCTGTGTCTTGCCAGGTGGACTGTCTCAACCCTGCAAACCACCAGAGGCTCTGCGTCTTGTTCAGCAGCTCTTCAGCCCAGTCCAGCAATGCTCCAAGTGCCTGCGTTAGCCCATGGTGTGAAATTACTGAATTCTTCCTCCCTGCCCCTCCCAACTAACCTAAAACATGTGTCCTTTCTGTGTTCACGTGAGGTGGGAGCTGAGTTGTTCAAACCAGGCATGTAACTGGGCGGTGGAGGGGAAATCTGGACTTGCATGCAGCCCTTCGCCTGATAAGGCTTATAGGATAATGCTTATCCTATTGCTTTTCCTAACATAATGCTGAATATTGCAAGAAGGATTGGTTGGGTTCCTGCCCCCCTCCCCCCCTCTACCATCTTAAGGGAGATCTACAGACAAACCAGAGGAAACAGCTCAGTGTGTTTATGGGAACTATAGATATATTGTAGTTTAATAAATGGGCAGCAGATTCAAACTCTGTCCATACTTTGCATCAAATGTGTGTCTATTGCTAACAAGAAAAGGGCCTCTGGGGTGTTAAGATTTTCCATAACTACTAAAAAGATAATTGTCTTGTTTTCAATAACTTTAGGATGGTGATAATGGAGTTTTATGGCAAGAATGACCTCACTTTAGGTGTGTTTCTAGAAAGGTATTGTTTCAGGTGAGAATTTTTAGATTTCTTAGATTCTCAAACACTGTTGAAAAAAAAAAGATTATATTTGTATGGGGTTCCAAGCATAGTGCGCATTTGGATCATTATTGTAGTTCATTATAATACAGCTGCTGATGTTTTATGAGGAGCATTTTTTATTATTTTATTAGTTTGCTCTATTCTTTCTTCCAGAAAGCTCTGCCCCAGAGCAGCTTGCCATAAGGTTCCCAGTGTTTTCTCATGCAAGAACAGGGAGTGGCCATAGCTCACTGGCACATGCCTTATATATAGATGGTCCATGGTTCAATCTCTGACATCTCCAGTTAAAAAGATAGTGATAGCAGAGTAGAGGAAGGCTCGAGTCCTTGGAAAACTTTTGTCAGTCAGAGTCAACCAGGATGTAGAACCATAGGCACAGGGGCCCAAACTGACCTCCCTGTAGTCTCAGTCTGCCCCCAGCCCCCCCAAGGTGGCTATGTCCACTTTTAAGATCAGCGAGGGAGGCCCTGCTCCAAGAACCCTCCCTGAAGGAGGTAAAAAGGGCATCTACTCAGAGCAGGGCCTTCTCTGTGGTGGTGCCCAGATTATGGAATGTGCTCCCCAGAGAGGTTTGCCTGGCACCAAACCTAGACTCTTGTCGGTGCCAGGTCAAAACCTTTTTATTTAACTGGTATTTTAAAAACTAGTATTTAATGCAACAGTTCTGTTTTATTGGTTATATGTTATTTATTGTTTGGATTGTTTTAATGTATTTGATTTTATTGATTGTTTTTAATGTATTGATTATGAGCCATCCCAAGATGCCTTGCATGTGGGATGGCATATAAAAGTTTTAAATATATAGATAAATACTGAGTTTACCCTCTTTCCCAACCATCACCAATTACTTGGTGACAGTTTCCCAGCTTTTGTGCATTTCCCCCCATTCTACAAAGACTTGGGTAGAGCTTTAAGCTACAAGATACAATGATTTTGTGTATTTTTCCCCCATTTGGACTTTGTCCTTGCCCAACACTGGATTGTGGTCCCTGGGACTGAGCACTGCTTCTGAGTGGGGTTCAGCCCTTGGTCTGAGGGAGGTTCCTCATCCCTATAGCCCTGGAACAGATGGACCATGTGGTTGGATTCCATATGAACCATATTGGCTTGCTTTTTGTCTCCGCTTTCTGTTTTAGCTGTGGAGTTTTTAGCTGACTGTTTATTGTTATAGAACAGTTATAACTGTATGGCAAGTTGTAGATTTTGAGCTTTCTTGTAAGCCGTTTCAGGTGCCATGAAATGGCTGAGGAACGCTATAATCAGAGTGAGAGGGGAGGTGGGGGATGGACAGTAAATTTATCAGAGATGCACTTTATGTTTGAAGAGGGGTGTTTGAAGCAGGCAAGGAGGAGGCTTTCATAATGAGACAAGAGATGAACAGACATGACACAAAGTTTTCACGCTCAGCAGACACAACCAGTATGCAATTGTACGTACTCGTACAGCACAGAATACGATAAGGAAGAATGGATGCCATAGAACATCCATCTGAAGATGAGTCTCAAGAAGTAATGTTATGCTGTGCTCTTTGAAGGCCTTCCTACCAGTGTCCGAGCATGTTCTGTGAAACGCCCATGGTGCACCACATCCGTCGCTTTGTCCATGGGCAAGGCTGTGTACAGATCATCTTGAAGGAACTCGACTCCCCAGTGCCTGGCTATCAGCATACAATTCTTACCTACTCCTGGTGTAGAATATGCAAGCAGGTGAGGAGATCTCTGGGTTCTGATTATTTGAGTCAGTATGTGATGCTGTTGGATCAAGATGTGGACCTTGAGTGCATGTGGCTGCTAACAAATATGAAGATAGAGGCACAAGACAGAGTTGTGGGTGCTGGGGAGGTAGGAAAACTTCTGAATGCACAAAGCTAGATACATCCTAGCTTTCCCCTCACTGGGATTGTATCCAGTGTTGGTCCTACTCAAGAGTGGACCAGTAACATCAGTGGAACATAAATTAGACTAAAATGGAATGCAACCCCTGGTGCCCCCAGATGTGCTGCATTACAACTTCCATCATCTCCAGACAGCATAGTGTGATGGCTGGGGATTATTAGCGTTGTAGTCAAATGCAGCAGAGTGGGTGAGGGGTTGGGGAAGCTGCCTGAAGGCCATCTTTGTACTGAGTTCTTGTCTTTAATTGAACTTTAAAAGTAATTTGTGAAGGGCAGACTTTTATATTTTATTTAGGACAGGCTTTCCTAAACTGCTGAGGCAACATTCTTATTAATTTGGAATGTATTTAGACTACTCTTTCTAAAAACCAAATCAAAAGAACACAACCAGAGCCACTGTTGTGATAGCATTTTATTAGCAATGTTGAAGACTTTTACATTTCATAAGATGCTATGTAAAACCATTTTTGCTGTATATATGCTGCAAAAATGTTGCCCTCTGCTTTTAAATGAAATTCATAGACTTGAGGCTAATGGAGATGGTACGTACCACCCACGTAACACTCTTTTTGATCCTATCACGTACAATCTCAATCCCGTTTTATTATTACGATCAGCTGGGGAGTGAGGCTAAGTGACTGTAGCCTACCTAAGGCTGTCCAGTTTGTGCACAGAGATGAGATCTGAACTAGAGGCTAACTACCTTCAGGATTTATGCACTTAACCCTTTTGTGGCCTTGAGCCCTCCAGATGTTTGGCGCTACATCTCCAAGCATTCCTGACCATTAGCCATGCTGGTTGGGATGGATGGGAGTTGGAGTCTAAAGCATCTGGATGGAACTAGGCGAGGGAAGGCTGTTATGCCACCTTTCTGAGGGACAGAGTTTGCAGTAAATTGTTATGGTAAATAGGCTGCATTGTACCAATGTTATGACAGTTAAGAGGGTGGCCTTTATCCAGAGTAACTCTCTGAGTTTCTACAGGGATTCATTTTTATAAAGCCAGATTCAGAATGGCAAATCAGTATTGCTACTTGTTGCCTCTGACTCTGCAGCTCTGGAAGCATGCTGGTTTATCCTGGAGACTTGCTGATTGATACTTCATTTTTACAGTGCCAGTATATATTAAGGCCAGGCCTGGGCTTGCTCAGGGTCTCTAACCATACCCAAGAATAACACAAAGATGAGATCAGGTTAGGTAAGTAATTTGGTTTGAGGGTTTTGGTTTTTTTTGTGAACATCACTGAAAAATACTTTAACTTCAACAGGTGACACCAGTTGTCCCACTTTCCAGTGATTCATGGTCTATGTCCTTTGCCAAATACCTTGAGCTGCGCTTTTATGGGCACCAGTATACCCGAAGGGCCAATGCTGAGCCGTGTGGCCACTCCATACATCATGACTATCATCAGTATTTTTCCTACAATCAGATGGTGGCATCCTTCAGGTAAGACTCCAAAGGCCTTCCTGCTTGAGAAAGCTCTCACACAAAATACAGAGAGATACAGCCTATTTAATTCATGTTATTTAACAAATATTTAGTAACAAAAATAAAACCAATAAAACCACCAGTTAATACATATTTTATTTATAATTATTCCAGTGCAGTGAACATGAACCAAACCTAAGCTGAATATTTTAGACAAAATTATCATACACCTCATTTAGTTTAGATGTCTACAGTCTTGCAGAAACCTCAGGCTGTAATTATTTTCTTTTAGTATGTCTGCAAGATCTTATAATGAGACAATGCTTTACAAGTCTATATCTTAGTTACTCAAGAAAAAAATATTTCTTAAAACATTAAGCCTAACATGTTATCAATTCAATCAAATCCTGCACCAATTCTTAGTCTAGTACACAAATGAATTTCTAAGCCATGCAAATCCTTTACTTTCCTTCTGTACATTCTGAAAGAAATTTAAGCTTTTAAGCACCCTTCTGCTATTGCTTAATGCAGGGGTCCTCAAACTTTTTTGATAGGGGGCCAGTTCAAAGGCCGTGTGGGCTGGTGAGGTGGGGGTGCCTGGGAGCGCGGGCCGGTGAGGTGCCATAGGTCGTGCGCGAGGCGGCATCGGACACGCACGGTAGTGGCTTGCTCACTCAGTGACCATCTCCGATCGAGCAAGCCACCACCTCCCCCCCTCCCTGCACTGCAAGGCAGCGACAAGCGTGCGCCTACGGGAGTTAGGCAGTGGCGGCTTGCTCACTTGGAGACCATCTCTGATCAAGCGAGCCACCACCTCCCCCCCCCCCTCGTGCTTGTATGGGAGGCAGGCGGCGATGGCTCGCTCACTCGGAGACCATCTTCGATCAAGCAAGCCACCACCTCCCCACCCCCGCAGCAAGTGAGCGCGCGGGTGGCGCAGGCTGGATGGATGGCCATGGCGGACCGGATCTGTCCCGCAGGCCATAGTTTGAGGACCCATGGCTTAGCGAATGGTGTCAGCAGCCATTTCTTTTGAGTCAATGATTGCATTCCAGCCCAGAACAACCTAGCCAAGTATGAAATCTTTGGATATTTTATGTTGGCACAACAGAAATGACAGAGAACACCTGAGCCTAGTTCAGACATCTCACCAGACTAAGGATGGGAAACCTCCCCCCTTCTTCACTTTTCCTGCATGGGGCAGGTGAAGAGAGGGGCAGAGCTGCAGGTTGGGAATCCACTGGCACCTCAAGCAAGCTCAGCCCATTGTTCCTTTATGTGAGCCTCACTCCACGCTAGCTAGAGGAGTGTTCCTCCAGCTAGCACCTTGAGTGGGGAGCCAGAAGCACTCTGCCTGGGCTTCCCTCACTCACATAAAGAGTTTCCCTGTTTTTCCTTGAACTGTCATTTCTGATTCTATTTTATTGATCAGACACAAACCCTAGTTTGTTCATCACAAATGAACCATGATTACACTTTCTTAGTATGGTTTAGCTTGATGGATGGACTGGGATGTAGTGCAAGACTAAGGAGTGTTACCTCTCAAAGGTGTGCTGTTTTTCCTTCCTAGCTATTCTCCTATACGTTTGCTGGAGGTGTGTGTCCCTCACCCTAAGATCTACATAAAACGTCAGGTGCCACTAAAGGTTGCTATGCTTCAAGACTTGAAGGACTTTTCTCAAAAGTAAGTATTTTTCCGTCTCTCCTATCCAACTGGATGTGTCCAACCTGAAATTTCATGACAGTTCCTTACTGAACTTTGGCTGTGCTATCCATATCAGCCTGCAAGATAGGGAAATAATGTTATGCCCATCTTGCAGCCTCAAAATTGAAATACACCATTGCATAGCTTGTAGAAGCTCTTGTAGAGATCTTCAATCCTTTGCCTTCTCTGTACAGTTCTTTCAGTACTTGAATAGCAGTATCTGCAGACAGGAATAGGGAAACTAAGTTCTTCATGCATGTGCCCACAATACTAGAGCTTGAAATCTTCTTGTGAAATTGATTAGCAGGCCCAAGAAAACTGGACACTATTTATAATCCATAATTGGCATTAGTTGTCACAAGTCATTGCAATGGCCATATTATCTTTTGTTAAACTATCTGATACAGATCAAAAGGCCTGTCCCTCTTAGTAAGAATGAGCGCCCTGTATTTGCAGAAGGACTAAATGGGAGGTGCTGTATCTCCCATGTTCCACCTGTGAGCTTCTCAGGGATATCCAGCGGCCGGGCTGGACATACAGTGTTCGACCAAGTAGAGGATTTTGATCTGATTTAGCAAAGCACTTCTGATATGTTGACTTGTCATGGGATGCAGTGACACATTCTGCCTTTACCTCAGGCACTGCTTCACCTTTGCAAATCAGCCTTGAGAAGGAGTGACTCAGGAGGCAGTTACAGAAAGTGGGAAGAAAAATGCTTTCTCTTTGGTTCCTTTGCTTTGCAACTTCCAGAACTTCTTTGTTCATCTGTATGGGAATATCTGGAAACTTGTAACTTCCCCTCTTCTTTCCAATGCAGAGGTGCTTAAGGGTGCAGTCCTGTGCATGTTTAGTCAGAAAGTCCCACAAGTCCCAGCATTCTCCAGCCATGCTGGGACTTGTAGGACCTTTTTCTGTTTACACATGCATAGCATTGCACCTTAAATGTGATTGGCAGAGCTTTTGCTTTCACTTTATTTTGTAATTTTTAGATTGTTGGAAAAGGTCTTTACCCTTTAAAATGTTAATACTTTGCACTCTGGACAGTCCACATTCCGTACCAGAAATGCTCAGCTGTGCTATTTATCCTTACATAGTAAGGCTCGGCACATAACTCAGACAAATTCAGTCTTTATGTTGATACAGCGTAATCTGAAAGACTGACACACATCTATTTATTATTAGGATTGTTCCTGGGTGGTCCTTTTTCTGCATTCCATTTGATTCCTCTAATTTTACATAATCCACCTAAATTATGTCTGGTTCTATTCCAGGTTTCCAGATCAAGAGTTTCACCTTTGTTTTCACAGGGTTTCTCAGGTGTATATTGCTGTTGACGAGCGCCTCACCTCTCTGAAAACTGATACCTTTAGCAAAACCAGGGAAGAGAAGATGGAGGACATTTTTGCCCAAAAGGAGGTTCAGTATTATTTATGTATATAGGTAGAAGCATAGAAGAATATTCTAGAAAGACAAGAGTCTGTCTTTGCTTAAGAAGAAGCAGTGTAATGTTGTCTTTCTTTTTTGACAGATGGAGGAAGTAGAGTTTCGAAACTGGATAGACAAAATCCAGGCGAGGATGCTTTCTTCATCACTCGACACTCCACAGCAGCTGCACTCCATTGCTGAATCTCTGATAGCCAAAAAGCAAAGTCTTTGTGAGATGCTGCAAGCTTGGAACAGCAGGTGAGAGGGCGGCTGTCTTAATGTCTGATGTTCCCATGGTAGTGAGTCTTCTTTGTCCTGCCTCCTCTTGGATCATCCTGCCTAGTTGGGTAGTTAAATTTTGTGGCTTCGTTATGTTTTCTTTACCAAGTCCTTTTTTGCCCCCTGAAATTGGCTCATCAGTGGCAGTTTTATAGACGTACTGGATTTTTAACATGCTCTAAATAGATGCTTATTTACAAGTGTGAATTTATTAGAGATTTAGCATATTTAATCCAAATCTAAATCTGGTGTTGGCTGTCTGAAGCTCTCTTGAGGCAACAGGATTGACAGTTTAATAAATGCATCCTAATGAATTGTGAAAAAATAGCCTTGATAGGTGCTTTATGGTACCTTCTAAATGTCTTGCATTTTGGGAAATGAAAGCTGAAAAGCTGTGAGTTTCTTTGGGGGCCTTAGTTGTGGAGCCTCGAGATTTGTCAGAACAGTAACATGAGGCCTGTTGCAGGTTACAAGATCTGTTCCAACAAGAGAAAGGGAGGAAACGTCCCTCGGTACCTCCTAGTCCTGGGCGACTGAGGCAAGGTGAAGAGAGTAAGGTAATCAGTTACATTGTTTTGTAGTGAGGAATTAAAAATGGCAGGCCTTCCTTTTTGTTCTCCTGTTGAGAATGGAATATTCTTAACGCAAATATTGGCAGTACCTGAGAAATACCCCTATAGGAAGTCACAATGAGGCAGGCTCAAAAAACAGTCTGTGCCACAGAACCCTGGGTGTTTCCCTTGGCACAGCAAATCTAGAGTATAGGATGGAGTCATAGATTTGCAGTGGTTGCATATGGAGCTGTTTTACAAACAGCTGTATGCCTCCCAAGTACTTCTGTAGTTCTCTCCAGTCTCAAAGGTGCTTGCAAAATATTGTCAATGGACTTGGCTGGTGCATCTATGTATGTGCTATACTGTTGTGGCTTAGAAGTTTTGTGGCAGGCTTGCTGTATGATGCAGATATATGACTTGGCTTAGTTGCACACTGGATGGACGATCTGGAACTTGTATCCGAGCATACGTAACTGAAGATCCAGCCATGAATGTCTGCAATAAACAGACCCATTTTACTAAAAGTGAGTTCAGTGGGACTATATTTCCCAGTAAGTAAATGTAGGAGTACTATTCTAAAGTGCACTGCAAAATTAACTACAAATGAATAAAACTTTTGCTTTTTTTTGAAGTGGGGGAAAGACTTCCTTAATTTGTAATAAAATCCGCTGTTATGGAAAGGAGCAAACCAACCTCACTTTTGACTTTAATGGTGGAAATAACTTTTAGTAGCTGTGGTGTCCAAAATGAGTTTGTGGTCATTAAGGAAAAAAGAAGGGAATGCAAGTACAAACTGCAAGAGGAAACATACTTTTCAACTTTAATTCAACAGATTAGCTCAATGGATGCATCTCCTCGCAATATTTCTCCAGCACTACAAAATGGTGAGAAAGGTATGTGTGCATTTTCTAAGGAGCCTGAACTTTTCCTGTTGACTCTCCTAACTGCATCCGAATGTTTTTTTGATAGTTTGCCATTTGCCACTGATGCAGCTGCACCTTGATCTCAGTAGCTTTTCCCCATTCCTGTTTTAACACTGAGGCCAAGAATAAGGAAAGGCCCATGCCTTTTACCAAGATGAGAGATCCTTTTGATGATAGGCACTGGAAATCAGAAGTTCATGTGAATCTGTTTAATTTTCACATTTCAGTGTAGTAGACTATTGTTGCTATGGTCTCACTAAGTACCTTTCTAATTTTCTTCCTGCAATAGAATTTGCTCTTTCTATATAGTTTCCATAGTATCTTGGAAGTACAAAGTGAGGAGTATGGCTAAGAAGTACTAGTTGAAAGGACTAAAATTGGTGGTTGCCAGGATGCACATCTTAGGAGTTTCCTTAGCCCCCTCCCCTGCTTTTTTCTTCATAATGCGGACACTGCTTTGAATTGTGTAATAGGTTTACTGACTCTCTCTAAGTCATGCCTGCCCAGCTTATAATTCCCCAAGGCCTTTGCAGCCCACTCAGCCCTGAACGGTAACTCATTAGGGGCTTGGTAAGCTCTTGCTTGTCTTGCCAAACTGCAAATCTGAAATGAGCTGCAAAGCACTTGGACATAATCTATGGCCCAGTCACTTTGGCCACAAATTTGCTAAGCAGTTGAATCATTTGTTTTGTACTCTGCAAGATTGCTTAGCTTAAAAATAGAGAAATTCATTCTCTCTTAATTTGCAAAGGTGCCCAATAAAATAAAAATGCAGCTTGGTTTCTGTCGTGCCTAAAGTCAGTGCTGAAGAAAATGTCCCCAGGGAACAGATGCCTGTCTAGATCTTGACTCATGTCCTTTTGGTTTCAGTGTCTTCTCACAGGATATGAAATACTCTTGGTAATGTCTCCTGAGAATCTCTTTCTGCTCCCTACCCCAGCTTATAAAATAGATTCATATGGCTAAGTGGCAATATCTGTGCTGAAAATTGCATGTTCTGGGTTCCATTAAGGTGCATTCCTAGGCATTTTTGACAGAAAAATACCTGCAGAAAACTGCAGGAAGCAAGAAGTTGTGTGTGTGTGTGTGTGTGGGGGGGTCTAACTAAACATGCATCAGATTGTACTCTGATTTATCAGTCCCGGCAGTGCCAAATTATTCTTAAGGGACCAATATAGAATGCTCTGTATATGTGCTGAATGGACAACCCTGGGCAACGGAGAGTAACTTCTTGTGTCTATTTCCACACAGCAGAGGATCGGTTCCTGACGACTTTGTCAAGCCAGAGCTCTACAAGCTCCTCTCTTCTCCAGCTTCCAACTCCTCCAGAAGTGGTTTCTGACCAGCTGACCGGGGGTGCCTCCTTTGCCAGTGCACTCTCTGAAGCAGACACAGCTGGCAACTCAGAAGGTACCATTGGCAGCCTTCTCTTTTTGTCTGGCTGGATGCCTGCTGATTGCTGAAGCAGATTGCAAATATACCAAGTAAATGAATTTTCTTCACAGCAGACTGGGGATGCTCCCTCTAGTATATGTCTGGCGAGTGCTGTGTTTGCACATCAAAAATTCAACATTTGAACATTTTTGTTGAAAGACTGGCAAACTCAAAGCAAGCAGGAAAGCATGTGTATTGTGAGGTGAATTTAGGACTGGCTTTCATGAGAGTCAGATGGCAGAGTAGGGATCTGTAGTGGTCTGTATCATGGCCCTGGTTGTCAGGTTCTCTTCTTCATTTAAGGGCAGCTTTCAGAAATGGTTGATTAGAGTGTAATTATGATCAGGCAGAACAATGGCATAAGTCATTCAAAATAGATTTAAATGAGGAAGCTGCTGTGTTCAGTCAGCCCACTGAGCCATCTAGCCCAGTGTTACTGACTCAGACTGTCAGTATTTCCCAGGCTTTCAGGCCAGAGTTTTTCCAGCCCTACCTGGAGATGCTGGGGATTGAACCTGGGAACTTCTCCATGCAAAGCATGCAGTTTTATACTGGCTTGGTTCATTGGTTGGTTGTGCTAACTTGACATGCCCTTTCTGTGCATTTATTAATATTTCTCCTGACTTCTCTTTATTAGTAACATAATCACAATCCTTTTATATTGAATTCAGTGACTTTGGGCAAGCCCATATCTGTAATATGGGGGAGAGTAGTACCGTGTGGTCTTTCAGAGCTGTTACAAAGCACTTTGAATACTTAAAAACTTTATACTGTAACAACAAAGTTGTTTTTTGTGATTTTAATTATGATTACCACTGCTACTACTGGGGAAGCTTCTAACTGTGTTCTCCGTCACTACTGATTTTGCTGTTTCATGTGTGGAGCAGATCTAGTAGGAATCTGAAGCTCTTCAGAACTTCACTGTTAAGGCGAAGTTCTGAAGAGCCAATAAAGGAGAGATCCATGCTAATGTTGCACCTCCATCTGTGATTAGAAAGCACAGGTTAGAACACATAGACTGTAGCCCTTTGTATTCTTCATAACTGTGAAAAAAGCCTGATTTATAGTCATATGTTGCGCAATGTGTGTCCAAGACCATCAGAGGGACAGAACTCACTTGTCCATTCTTGTCATGTTGACTTATAAAGTTCATGCTAATTTCACTGTCTTCATTTTGCTAGAGCTGCTGGCATAGCTTGTCACTCATTGTTAATTGATTCATTCATTTGCACTGAAACTATCAATATAAGAGAAAGAGCAGGTGATTTCTGTAACTTCCCAAGAGTGGACATTTTAGGTACATCTTGGAGCTCTTATGCTTGACTTTGTTAAGAGATGGACTTCTTTTACAAACATTCCAGATGTGTTTGATGGCCATTTGCTGGGATCCACAGACAGCCAGGTGAAGGAGAAATCCACAATGAAGGCTATTCTGGCAAATTTCTTACCTGGAAATAGCTACAATCCCATTCCATCCCCTTTGTAAGTGGAATTCTCATTACTGAGGAACAGGAACATTGTTTATTATGCATCTGTGAAATAGCCATACTTTGCAGTGCTTGTTGCCAGTTTCAGGGCTAACGATCTTTGTCCATTTGATTGTGTGGGGGTATGAAAGGGATTCCTGTGGAGGAATGGTCTCAAGCAGAAGTAGGCGGTTGGAAGCCTTTGGGACAAATGCAGCCCACAGTTGACTGCCTGTTTCCCAGGGATGATTAAAAGGCCTCTAGTATCTTCTTTACCCTGACTAGGTGTCTTTCTAACTAGTTCTAAGAAAGGGTGGAGGAACTGCATGTTTGCTGCAGTCTTTTTCTCAGAAAGGCAAGAAGTCTGAGACTTGCAGCTTCAATTTGGTGTCAGCAGCAAGAAGTGATGGGGAGAAGAAAAATGTTGGCTCTTTCTCAGTGTACACCAGCTGGTGGTCAAGTCTAAAGGAAAACTTGTTTTTTTCAGTGACAGATACCTCATTTGTGGCTCATTTTTCTTACATTTATACACCATTCCCTTATGTTATGCAGAATTGCTTGCTCCTTGCCATATTTTGCATGATGTCTGGATCTTTTTGTATTGTTAATACAGTGAGCCTGACAAACATTACCTGATGTATGAGCACGAACGTGTCCCTATTGCTGTTTGTGAAAAGGAACCAAGCTCCATCATCGCCTTTGCTCTCAGGTATATTGGTTTACTGTGTTGGCTTACAGTTCTTTTCCCCTTAATCTCTATGCTTAGGAAAAAAGGGGGGTTCCTTTCAGAGCTTTTTGTGCACAATTTGGGCCATGCTTCTGATGCTAAATCATTTGGACACATAATCTCTTAGAAACCTTACTCTCTTCCCCTCATGTTACTTCATGATTTACTAAGAGCAACCACCTTGACTGCACCAGAGCCCTTTTGAGAAAAGGGATTGTTTGCAGAGAAAAACTGCTGCAGAGATGGATGGGGGTCTTTCCCAGGTTTCTTACCTAATCCTGATAGTTTTTTATCTATGCTCAATGGCCTTTTGATGGTTGGCATTAAGCCAAGGGGTTTCGCTTGCTTTATTGGAGGCATTCTAATCTGAGTCTAGTAAGGTTGTGTTTAGTGAATCAGACCCAAAAAAACTTGAACCTTCTTGATGAGGCAGGAAAATGTTATGTGTCAATGCTATGGTATTTGGTTGGTATTATAATTATTTTATTACAAACATTGGTTACTCCACCTTTCCCCGAAGAATGCCTGAGGCAGGTAAAATATATTTAAAAACCCAGCAAAGCAATAAAACCCAAGTAGCAGCGTTTGCTAAAATAGTTTATTTATAAAACCAAACATGTTTATGCAGTGTGGACTAATGGTTAAGAGTGTGGGACTGGGACCCAGGCGAGCTGGGTTCTAGGCCCCACTCAGCTGTGGAGCCAACTGGGTGACTTTGGGCCAGGCACAGACTCTCAGCCCAACCTACCTCACAGGGTAGTTGTTGTAGGGAGAAGATGAAGAGCAGGAGGAGAATAATGTAGGCCACTTCGGGTACTTTAAAAAAAGAAAAAGACAGGAAATGAATGTATGAATGAATGAATGAAAAATATGTTGCTACATGCCACTTGTAACATCTAGTACCCTTAGCATCAGAATACTTGTAGAGGCCTTTCAATTCATTATGGCTGGATGTTCTGAAGAATTTTTAATTTACCCCTCAAGATTCACTACAAGTTTGGAGGTTAAGTACTTGTTCCTTGTAGTGGACTAAATTTGGGAGGAAACAGTTAAAAGGTGGGGATCAGGCACTTAAAATGACCCTCTCCTTCAAAAAGCTGGAGATGGTCTTGTGGCTTCCAGAGGGGTTCTTGCCTTGCGCTGTTCCATGAGCCACCTTTTCCTTTTGTGTTCCTTCCCCTCGGCTTTAGGCTCTCCCCTCCATGCTTCACCAATGTAAGCCTGAGCCTGGGCTGTTCTGCTTCAGGTGGGGGCTTGCATGATTCAGTGTTCCTCCATGTACTCCCCTATCATTATCTCCACACCAACATTGCATGTCCAGAAGCACACTTTTTTAACCTTCTCCCTGACATGCTAGTACTGTCCTGGTTCTTGGATGGTGAGCATTCCTGCGACAATCTGAGTGCTGCCAGTCGGCATACTAGGGCGCATCCTCAACAAAAACAAGACTTCACTCCCTCTGTCTCTCTGCATGCAGCTGGCCTCACATGTTGAGCTGTGGCAGCTTGTGTAAAACAACAGCTTGTGAGAAACCTCTGTTTGCTTTGTTCTTCAGTTGCAAGGAATACAGAAGTGCCTTAGAGGAATTATCCAAAGTGTCTCTGAAGAGCAATGTTGAAGAGGGACTTCAAAACAACAGGTGATGCTCTGATATATATTTGCTCATTGTGTCTTGAAGTACTGCTAATGAGAACAACCCAAGTTCTTCTGCACCCTTTAGAATTACTAGCAATTTCACTTTTTGGTCAGCACCTCTGGATGGATGCACAGGCAGCATTTTCACCCACATTGTAACTAGGTGCCATTCTGCAGCTTTTGGTGGAAGATGAGGAGCCATCAAGAACTAACACTTGGAAGGAGTGCTTTTAAGTGTTTCATCGTATATTCTGGTGCCTAGTTTCTTGGCAATATTTCCCATTAACTTGATATTGTACTACACAGAATGAATAAGATTGGTGAAACCCAGTGTTGTTTATCTGTTCAGCATGGCTTCTCTGGTTCTCTGAGATATCCTCTGCAAGAAGTTTAGTATCAGATCTTGAAAGCCTCTCTGTAAGATCTGTCAACAGCTATTTATTAGCTTAATGAAACCTCCAGTCTGGACAGGTGTAATGCCTGTATCTCTGAATGCAAGTCACCTGGGGGCAAAGAAGGGAGGGCTTTTGCCTTTGTGCTTTCCTTGTCAGCTTTGAGGGAAGCACCTGGCTGGCTACCACTGGAAACAGGATGCCAGGCTAAGTGGGGCCTCTTTGTACACTGTAAAGGTAGCAGCACCAGATCTGTGGCAGGTGGGTCCTGCTGGAAAAATTAGGCTGGTGCTACAAGTGAGCCTTTTGGTGCCTCTGAAAATATAGTGGCCAAGTGTTTGTTTGATTTCTAGTCTGAATGAGAGCAGAGCGAAGAACAGCAGTCCCGTCCGGCTGCCTGACACGAATGTGGGGCAATCTAATCAAGCAGCAGAGACAGAACAACGTAAGCATTTTAATAGTTTATTGTAGGTTGTCTGTCTTGTGTATGTTTGATTTTGAGGTGCAAATAGTATTGCTGCAGGGCAGGATGCAGTTGGTTGAAACAAGGAAAACTAAACCCTGAAAGTCAGATCTCCGTATATTGTAGCCTGGGCTTGTCTAGCCATCTTTTAATTATTCTGTATGAACCTGGCATTATTCAGATGTTAAAGGTCCATATGTTGCTAGCTACTTCCAAGGAAAAGTAATTTTCCTGATTTATACGTTGCTACTTTTATCCCCACTTACTGTAGTGATACCTCCATTGGTATATTGCTGGACTAGGCAGGGTTAGATCTGAATCTACCAAGAGGTGCTGGGTGATTTGTGGTGGAACCAGTGTGGTGCCATGATTAAGACAGTTGGACCAGGGGTTTTGGGGGATCCGAGTGCTGGACTCAGCCATGGAGCCAACTGGGTAAGTTTAGGCCAGTTGCTGACTCTCACAGAGAATTGCAGAGATACTGGTGGCTTCACTCCTTGACTTTGCCTCACACTTTTTGGCTTGACATGCAACCTCACAAGGTTGTTGTTTTGAAGAAAATGTGGAGATAACTTTGCTGACCCCCTTGGGTCCCTTGCAAAAGGAAGAAAGGCAGAATGCAACTATAATACAGCAGCTTATGCTATTGGGCAGTATAGAAATACGATGAACAATAATAGGTCATAGTTTTGTTCATATCTCAGTTTACTTGAGCAGAAATACCATTACACATCTGAGTTCTGTGTGTGTCTAGTGGCTGGTGTAATGCTTATTCTCTTCCCTTCTGCCTGAGACTCAGAATGTCTTTAAAGGACAAAGGAAGATCTTTCCACAGGATTCTGTTCAAGGCCCCAAAGCAGCCAGGGCCGGCTTCAGCAAAGGAGAACAGCTGGTAGCTTTTCCTGGCTGAATTCACCAGCATCACAATGGCAGGGGTGATGAGGGGCTTGCAGCTATCTTTTTTGTTCATGCTTTGGTTATAGCAAAGAAGCCCTACGGAGTCCTGTCCTTCTTCCGAGGGACTGGAGGTAGAAGCCCTGACCTCTCTTCCCAGAAAAAGGAAACCTTACGAGGAGCAGACAGTGCCTACTACCAGGTTGGGCAGACAGGCAAAGAAGCGGCAGAGAACCAAGGAGCAGAGACTCAAGGTACGTGATTTTACCTTTGTTCATCTATCTCCTGTATGCTGCTTTGCTTAGGGCAAGGGTGAGCAAGTTTGGGAGGTTTGAGGACTATTTTTATCTGCCTGGATATCCCTGCCCCCATACATGCTGAAATTGGAAGCTGGAATTTTTGAAAAATAACATCAGGAGCATCAAACAGATCAAAACAGTCTGCTTTTAACCCTTTGGGGACTCCATAGCCACCACAGATGCCACTTTGTTTGCAAAAAAGATAGATTTTTTTTAAGGGGTGTCCCTGAATTTTAGGAGTGGTAGGGGCTGCATGTACCTTGACTTAGCTAAATGCACATAATTTTTAGATATTGTGAAAATTATACTACATGGGGAAAACATTTCATCAAGCAGGGGAATGACTACAAGATTGATGTAAAGTGAAGGAAACAGCAGAATGGCATCATAGGAAAAGGCTCCTGTATACATGTATATTTTACATAGGACTTAGATGTAAACCTTCCATAGTACACATTAGATATAAGGTTTATATGTAAACTTTATAATTAACCATTTCCATGGAAATGCTTACTCTGGGATATAAAAAGAATAAATATAGCTGTGCTGGATCATGAGGGGTTAAAAAAAATCCATGGTTAGGCAATACCTTCTATAGGAACAATAAAAAATGCCACAAAAGTGTTGAGGTTTTCAAGTTTTTCAAAATACTTTTAACAGGCAAGGTGGAATCATCTCTTTTCTCTTTGCTCCTAATAAAGGTTTTCTCCAACTCTTCATTTAGGCTTTCTTTAGGACACAAAGAATTCTAAGAAAATGTAAACTTCTCCAGTATATTCTTAGATGAGTTGTCATGTCATCATGACATGTCCCTAATTCTAAAATTGCAGGTCATTTTGACTTAACAATTACATGCTGAATCATTCTATACCAGTTGACAGCAGCTTTGGATCTCCCTCTTCCTCCCCACATTTCTGGGAATCACATGTTTTCCACTAAGACACTTCTTGTTTAACAGCACATCACCTTTCCAAATCTGAAATACACAGCAGTGTTCTAGGTGGGTCTCCTGTTTTCTCCTGGATTATTTCCACACTGCCAAAAGTTTTGATAAACTGTAATACCACATTGCTATCAGGTTTCCTATAATGGGGGCTTTTGGAGGATGGTGGTGAGCCAGATGAAGGAAATTGTGGCTGCCCTGCTCCATCATGGGGTCCTGAACCATAGCAGATCTGCCATGAAGAAAGGTCAGGCTTGAAGTGTTCTTGGTTGGAAAGGGTTCTTGGGTATCTGTATGTCAAAAGGGATGGGGAACTTGGCCATCGTTGGCTTAGCTCAGTCATCGTACTCTCCATATTTAGCTTCTAGTTGAAAGACTGGCAGTAGTGCAGTTAACATGTGCTGCCTGTTAGATCCAGCACAGCAATGAAAAGCCCCCAGTATTTCAAGCAGTACAGACTTTTTGGCAAGCTTTTCTGCTAAGTACTAATCAAATAGTGCCAGAACTGCTGAAATGTGGAGCTTCTGCTTTATACTGTTGTTTCATTGGTTCCTCTGAAACTGCAGTCTGCTCTGAGTGCCACTGGGCCTCTGTCCTTTCTGCTCACCTTGCTACAGAGCCTTCCCTGGAAATGCCAGGAAGGCCCTTTTGGACCTCCAACCTGTTGGCATTTAAAATGTTTCTTCACCTAGTATTCAGTAGAAGGGCTGTGTAGCCTCCAATTGGATTCATGCATTGATCCGTGCGCTGCTCAGTTAGGTTCGCACCTCTTTGATGGCATTATTTGTGGAAGGGAATGGCAAATTAGTGAGTGGCAAGTTGCAGAGATCCTGGAGATGGCTTCCTTCCTTGACTTTGCTTCACACTTTTTGGCTTGACATTTGCTGCATCCAGAAACTGCTGTGTGATTTAATGTGGTCTAAGAGAGTCTTCTTGGTGAGCTGCATTTCTCAACAAGAATAACTGGAAACATTTGTTTGCAAGCTGCCTTAGAAGGCTGCATCCTTGGTCCAACTTTCTCTTTACTATTTCAGATGAGGCAGATGGAGGTGATGCACAAAAGAAACAGCTAGGAAATCCACATGTCGAACTCCGTAAGTAGGAACTAGTTTGGGAATGTCATTATTTAGGGAGGCAGGGAAGGAGGAGGGGTATGAGTACATCCAAAAGCAGAATGAGCAGCCTCCTGCAAAGTCCTTTGTTAATTGGAATGACAGATTCATGCTTTGATTTTTGTCCATAGATGTGAGTTCCACAGGTATCTATGGGTTATTTCCACAAACATTATTTGGATTTGGGGTGGGGGATCAGTCATATTTTCCTCCAGCAAAGCAGCATTGCTCGGCAACATGTCCTTTGCTCATTGCATGACCGCTGTTTACTCTTGCAGCCTCAGAGCTGGAACACCAAAGCATATTGTAAACAAACTTTAGCAATAAACTTTTCCCAGGACTTGCTATCGCATCTTTGAGTCAGATGGCGCCATCCAGCATCCAAGAGAAAGATGTAGCCGTGGCTGGACTTTCCAGGTGGCAACAGATAAGAGATCATAAAACTTAGCTTTTAGGATGCACGTCCTTCAGTGCATTGAGAGAGCTGGATAGGAATCTACAGGGATTGATGCTGGAGTATTTAAATATTGATGCTATGTTATCATGAAGGGTCAGAGCAACATTTACAAATTTATCCGCTTTTGCTTGCCAAGTCCTTGGCCTTCTACTAAAATAGTATAATCGTTTTGCAGCAGTTCACAAAACATTGATAGAAGAGATATTTCAGCATGTCCTCCCAGCCAAGGGAGGATTTTTTGTCAAACTTGGCAGAGCATGGACCCAAGCCATACAAATATTTTCCTCAGATGCGCCTGCTCTCCAGTTCTTTGTCTCTCTTGTTCTTTCTCTCTCCCACTCACACCAGTTTGTACCTCTTAGGTTGAAAGAGTGCTCCTGAATCTGGATGTACATAGGAATGACCTTGCAAGCAGGCTGCTGTGTCCCTCCTGCCATATCAAATGGCAATTTGATGTTGGGTGTGGCAGCAGGGTGCAATGTCTGCCCAACCTACCTTACTGCTTTAGAAGGGAGGTAAAAACTTCCCCTATTGTTGCAGTTAACATTGTGAACTGGGTGACACCTATTTAAAGGTTCCCTTCATCTATGCATGGGCGGTTGTTGGGTTATCTGAGGGTAGTTGAACTCGCAGAGGGGCTGTACCTCTGAGTTGTAACACCCCAACAAGCTGCACCTGGTGGTGATCATTCTTGTGCCATCGGGCATGTGCTTCAGCTTAAACAAGCTGCTGAGGATTTTGTTGCAAAGCTTAGTGGCACAGCACACACCAACCACACAGAAAGCCCCAAGTACAGTCCCCAACATCTCTGGGTAGGGCTGGGAAAGGCTCTCACCTGAAGCTGGACTGCTGCTACCCATCACTGTAGACTAATGGTGTGTAACTTGGCGCCCTCTATGTTGTTTGAACTACAGCTGCCATAGTCCCCAGGCACTGCAGGATTATGGATATAGCATTCCAAAGCATCCTGAAGGGCTCCTGGTTTCTTGCTTATGGAAAATATTGAGCTGGTGGAACCAGTGCTCTGACTTCCTCTGCTTTTGAAGGTTGCTCTCTAACTTCTCTCTCTACTGCAAGCTCAGCCTGTACCTCCTTGGTGGTGCTGTTGTCTAAACCGGTGGTCTTCAACCACCTGTCTGGAGACCAGCGTCGGTCTGTGGGAGATTTCCTGGCAGTCCATGGGAGGGCCACATCCCACTCACCGTGGACCAGCATGGGGACTGGCTGTGCTCCACCATCAGTTCCTCCATTGGCATCACATTCACAGGGGGTGCACCAGTGTTTCCAGAGAGGGGAGAGACGGTTCAGTGGGAGCCACACTGCACCAATTTCAGTAATTTCTTCTTTTGTTGGCATTTTTTGTTGCTTGGTTTCTCATTGTTTTGGAGAATTTTCATTTCCTTGGAATTGTGTTTGCAAACTGATACACAACTTACTGTATTATCTGTATGGTGCTTTTTGTTTCTGCCTCTGCAGTCCCCGAGGTGGTTTTCTTGTTTTTGCCGGTCCCCAGCTGTGGAAAGGTTGAAAACCACTGGTCTAAACCAACCACTCTGTGGAGTCTGAGTAATATCCAGCACTGCCCTTCCATGAGTGGGGCCCACTACTTATAGGATGAAGATCTACTAGTTTGGGGGTCACACCCCCAAACCAGCACAAACACAGGTTTCAGGAATTGGAGAGGTCAAGTGGTGGTCCCTTATGGAGACTTGCTGACCTCCCTCAGTACAGAAACTCACATTTCCTTTGTCTCTGGACTTGCCTGTAGGAGCACTAAATCTCTGCTGCACGAGCAGTGGGTGCTCCTCATAGGACACATATGGTGACGCTGGCCACTTGCAAGTGGTCATGGTGGGATTCTGTCCAATGTTTTGTAGTTTTATTTATCATGTTCAAATTTTTAGTAGTAAGTTGAGGGTCTTAATGCAGATAACCCCATTGTGGCATGTTGTACTTCTCTACTCTTTCTTATGTGATTTATCTGTCTGTCTGTTTTTGTTTTCTGGATTCATTTTGCTTAAATTTCCCTCCATTCCATAATAAAGCTTCATATAAACTTCCCAGCAACCTCAATTCATGGAGCCAAGAGTCAATTCTTGCCACTCTTGGACTGTGTGAATATCAGCAACATGATGCAGAGTTTGAACTGGAATTCCTATTTTGTCTGACTTAGATGCAAGTGGCTGTATTTCTGGGCTTCAGTTGCATGATGCTAAAAGCTGTTGGAGTTGTTGTAGGATTGTATGAAGTCTCAGGGCACCAGACACTCATGGCTGATTGCTGACTGATTCTCAGGGTTTCCCCACCTTCCAGTTCTGGTGTGCCTTCCTGTCCCTGCATCATGGCTGCTACTGTGGGGCTATATCCCAGGATGTGGTGCAGTAACTTTGCTGAAGTTTCGGAAATCGGGTCCCTACCAGGATGGGTTGCTACCCGGGAACCTTTATTAGAGTGACTTGGAGTGCTCTCATCAAGGAGAGAAAATGTTTGTTACATTGTTATTTGGGGCTTATGAGCTGCATTTTAGGAACAACCTTTCCAATACAAAATTCAAAACTTTAAAGCATACTGCAGGACATGTTTGCTCACTGGCAGAGGAATTATATGACTACTTGAAAGCACCCAGACAGCCATAAGATTTTTTTGGATTCCTAGGTGTGAGGTTTGCAACATGCTTAGATTTCCCATTCTCACTCAGAGTGACCACTGAAGGAATCATGCTGGCTGCTTTGCCAAGGTCATAAGAATGATCTAGGAGAAGGGCCTCTGTGGGCATTTCAGAGGGCATGGAGGGGAGACGGGCAGCTCCAAGATATGCTGGTGATGCCTCAGCCGCCTTCTCACTCTCATTTGGACAGCCACAATCAGCTGTAGTTTCACCTCCATGCTCCTCTGCCACTCACCTTCCACAGGATGCTCATAATTCTTCACTTTCAGAGAATTATGGGCATCCCCACAAGATTGTGCACTTAGTTTTCATAAAGGAAAAGCCCTGAAAAAGATAGATGTTTTTCCAGTGAGAGTTAGCAAAATTAGAGCAAAGAGTCAACAAGGAGTTTGAAAAAGCATACCTTAAACAGAATGAACATTTCTTCTTGAAGTAATCCTTCCATTTCCCTTATTTATGAAGATTCAATTCCTTCCATGTTTCTTTGCAGAATTCTCTGATGCAAATGCCAAGTTCTACTGCCGGATTTACTATGCAGGAGAGTTCCATAAAATGCGTGAAGTGATACTTGGAAGCAGTGAAGAAGATTTCATCTACTCCCTCTCTCACTCGCTGCCATGGCAGGCACGAGGAGGCAAATCAGGAGCTGCTTTTTATGTGACTGAAGGTAACTGACTGACTTCTTAGTTTTCCCTTTCTGGATTGGGCAGTTTGAGCTGAACTCTATGCTAAGTTTGGAATACCCAGAATTGAAAGTTGGATCAGAACTATGGTTTCCACTTGTGATTTAAGGTGCTAATATTAATTTGGTTGGATAAATTGATATAAAAGCTTGTTTTTGTAATATGTCCTTCTCATATACAATATAGTAACACACAATCTTCTTTAGATGACCGATTCATCTTGAAACAAATGCCCCGCCTAGAAGTCCAGTCCTTTCTAGACTTTGCCCCACACTACTTCACATACATTACTAATGCAGTTCAGCAAAAGGTAAGGTTTGTGAAACATTCTCTCCCTTTCCATTTCATCTTGATAATTGCCTTCTAGTTTTAAATGTGCATTTTGTAGAGGAGCTAGTCATGATCAGCAATGAATGCTTTTTGAAGTAAGATTTTGTCTGGAGAATCAGCAGAGCAGTGATTTCATGGTAGCCTCTGAAGTGCAGAATCTGACAGTTGCTCTAGGCATGTCCCAAAGGAGGAGAGTTCAGAAATTAGTCCACTGGGTTAATCCCTGTCAACATACACATTCTAGCAGTCTTCAGCTCCACCAAGGTGGTCTTCTGTAAAGGTGATGGTTATTGATGACCCATTCATGACCAAGTTGTAAAAATACTTGCATTACAACAGAGAACCCTATAGCTTCATTGGGCAAAATTCCCTCCACCCCTTCAGCTACTGCAAGTACTGCAGTTGAACTCAGCAGGAACAGGAAATTCTGAGGGGGGTGGAGGTAATGTCAGCATGCTCATCAGTCCTGGCTCCGATCTGCCACTGCTGGCAGTATTACTTTCAGCAGAATGGAATCCAAAATAAATGGAGTTCATTTGAGAGTAGAAAGTTGATCATCACCTTTTGAGCAGTTCACCTTTCTTTTGCAGAAGCCAACAGCACTGGCCAAGATTCTTGGTGTGTATCGAATTGGTTATAAGAATTCTCAGAACAACACAGAAAAGAAGTTGGACCTTTTGGTCATGGAAAACCTCTTTTACGGCAGAAAGATGACCCAGGTGAGTAAACAGCTTATCTGCAGGTTTGTCTCTCTGTTGAGCTGCTTTTTCTATTGCTGTCGGCAAAGCTAATTCCCCGATTCTGGTTTGCCACAACATTTTGATTTCCAAGATGACGAGGCACATAAAGAAGCCCTTGTCTGATAAAAGTATACTTGGGTCTAAATGATATTTTTGATGCTTGGGACATTGGAACAAGCAATACAGACCTGATGCTACTAATACTTAGATTACTAAACATTATAAATGCATGTTCTGGCAACCTTAACACTTCCTTTTCTGACAGCTAGTATGGCTTGGAACTACCAGGTTTATAAATAAGAAAATAAGACTTTGTCCTCTGTGACTTTTTAAGAAACTAAAATTGCAAGGGACTTGATAAAGTCTTAACTAAAATTATGCCTTTTAAATTTCATTCTGTTCAACCATGGCATACTATCCTAGCCATGGCTTGGTATTAGAGGTTTACCAGTTGCCTTAACTTTATGTGTAATACATTACTTCAATTACTGGGTTGCAAAATTTTAAGAGCAAAATTTCTTTTTATTAAAGTACATTTATGCAGAATTAGACCAGTGTACATTTTAGCTGAATGCTACACACATGCAGATTACTTTGTAGTAGAAATCCTGTGGCTCTGAGCAAACTTAAGAAAGTTGTCTTTTATTTATATTCAACATTTATTTAGATTTATGGGACAACCATTTCTAATATTTGCTTTAATTAAAGCATTTTTATCCCACTTCTCCACAGACACTTAGTAAAATAAGACCGTCTCCGCCTTTTGGCTTAGATATCACAGACATTGTTCTTCCCTTTCTTCCAAGCAGACCCATACAGTGGTTTTCTAACTAAAATCTGGGCTGGCTTTATAGTATGCAAGAAAGAAGTTAGAATACTGTTCATTAGGGAAATGTGGCTTAACGATAAATGGTTAATTCCATACCCCCCTCGCTTCCAAACATGAAAAGAGCAAGCCATGTGTCAGGGTGGGTCCTTATGCTTAATGGCCAATTGTTTGGAGTGTCTGAGCCATCTCGGCTAGTCTGCCCTGTTGCCCTGGTGCATGCTGGGCCTTTCCCTCTCCATGCTAGCTTGCTCACTAAAATTCCCCACAGAATTTGAAACTGTCCAGTTCTCAGTGACTGCCTGGCTTATCTCTGAGCTCACTGGCCTTGGTATTTCAGCTGCAGATTGTGGTTCCACATCTTTTCTGGGCCAGAAGCTATATCTACAGTGTTTGAAGGCGCTTTTATAGGAAGAGGGCTTTAATCCCTACATATGACATGACACTTGGGAAAAAGAAATCAGGAAGGGAGGAAGTTAGATTGCTTACTTGTAATTGTCATTCTTCAAATGGTCATCTGCATTCTCACATATGGGCTCTCATAGAGCCTGTTGTTGGGAAGTTTCTACAGCTAAGCATTAGTTTGAGTGGGAGCCCCTCCCCTTCCTGTTCCCTGCATCCAAGGGAGGAGCTCCCACTAATTCCCTCAGTTCCATTGAGACAGCTTATAGGTCCTAGGACTGAGGGAGGAGTGTTTTACTGGCCAGTCTGGCCCCTGCACCCCCCACAGACGGGTGCCAGCTGACTTTGGTTCGATACCCAGGAGATGGGTGGTGTGAATACACAGATGACCACTTGAAGAACAGCAGTTGCAGGTAAGCAGCCTGACTTTCTTCTTGATGGTCTCTGTGCATCACATATATGGGTGAGAGGCAGGCTTACCCCGGAGAGGACAGTGGGATGGTGTCTTCACTAGAGTGTCACTGGGAGAAAGGGGCAGTCTGCCCTGGCTCAAGCATTTAGCCTGCAGGGCTCAGCAAATACCAAAGGTGTGAACCATGTAGCTGCTCTGCAAAGGATTTCCCTGAGGAGGGCTGTGGATGTCACTGTCGCTCATGCGGAGTGGGCTCTTGGATGGGCCGAGAGTTGTTGACTGGCTGGTCTCCAAGCAGATAAAGGAGGGCTGTAGCCCCTTTTTGGAATTGTGTGTGTAGGGATTGGAGGATGTGCCTGATCATGGTGTCCCCCAGGTCAAGAGCATCCTCTTGCACATAGTGGTGAATACTCACCATTTGATTAGGTAAGATTTTCTCACTGATCGTTTCAGGGCAGCATTAAGGGTAGTTCTGAGGCAGAGTATCAACTGTGAGAATTTATGGTATAATGTGCTGTGCAGTGAGACTTAGAGGGCTGATGTTGCGGTGGAAGATTGTGCCCTGATCTCATGATATCAGGCCTGGGCTGTGAGGAAGCAGAAAGTGGTAGAGTGAAAAAGGTAATAAATGCTGAAAAATTACTTAAGTATTTTTAACAATCAGTAACAATACTGATTCAACTAAAAATCTGGAATGTAAGCAGAATAATTCCTAATAAATAACATGCATCTCATTACACGATTCATTTTAATTTTTTATGTAATACAGCTGATTTAGGTGGGGGAGGCATTGTAGGAATTCCCTTATTTAATAAACGGGGTACTGCCGTTTGAGATGTTGAAGAAATGGCTTCCCACACAATGAAACCTGCTGCCTTTTCTGCCACTAGGTCTTTGACCTGAAAGGATCCTTGCGGAATAGAAATGTCAAAATGGACACTGGGAAAGAAAGCTGTGATGTGGTTCTGCTGGATGAAAACCTCCTGAAGCTAGTGCGGGACAATCCCTTGTATATCCGTTCCCACTCCAAGGCTGTGTTGAAGGCTTCCATCCACAGCGATTCTTATTTCCTTTCCAGCCATCTCATCATCGACTATTCTCTGCTGGTGGGCCGGGATGATACCACCGATGAACTTGTGGTTGGGATTATAGGTAAATAACCTTTGACCTGAAACTGCCATGGGGAGGCTGCTTGGGATGGCCTCTACGTGGCAGCTGCCCCACACAGCATGCTCTCTGTGGGCTGGGGATGTTTGTCGGAAACATGCAGCAGGGTCACCGCAGAGATCCACCATCTGTGTTGGGAGACAGCCCTGAGGAATTGCTTGTTAGGGGGAGCAGCATGTCGCACAGCGCTCTTGCAGCTGAAGAATCATTTTGAAAAGCAAAGATTCCATCTGTACAAAGCTCAGTCCTCAGCTGCAGTGTGTATCGTGTTGGTTTCATTTATCTCAAACTGTGATGTCTGTAGTTTTTTGTCCTTACAGATTTAGTTAGGCCAGGCATGCAAAACCTGAGGCTCATTGCCAAATCCAGCTCTTCTGGGGCTCCACTTTGGTCCCCTGGAATTCCTAGATTGCCACTTTCCCTTTTTCCTGACCAAGAATCACCTGGTGATGGTCTGACTTTTGTGCATTCCCCCCCACTCCAAATACCTCTCCTGAGACATAGTTCATGGCAGCAAGAGCTTTACGCTACCATATTTTGGGACTGTCCCTTTTGCCTTGGCCCCAACCACTGCAGGGATGAGGCTCCCCCAGAACTTTCTTGAACTGTCATTTGGCTCAAAGAGGTCCCTAAGTCTTGAGCTAGGCTGTGCAGATCTGCCGTTTCTTGGAAATCAGAAACAAACATGCAAGGCTGATTAGTGTTTCAGAGTTCAGTCTTCACCAGCCATATGGAACAGCCTCAGTGTGGTGTCTGTGCTGTAAAAAGCAACCCGTAACTTTTCACAACTGGCTTCACACATTTTGCTGATTGCATAACATCTGTGTTGTCCTGAATAAATTCAGAGCAATACACGGAGAACATGCTTCTGTAGATTTTAAGATGCTGTTAACTGCAGATAATTGGCTGTCACCTCTTTTAAGTCACTGTAACTGAAATTGATCGTGCCTGCCATGCAAAACTTCTGTAATGGTGCATCACTTTCCATTGGAGCCTCAGGAAAATCAGCTAGTGAGAGGAATAAGTGAACGTTACACCTATGTTGGGATGTGAAGAAGTTCTGCATAGACAGCAGTGGTGAAGATGGAAAAATACTTGTTTATGGCACCAGTTCTGGATAGCTTAAGAGACTGGCTTTGCACAGGGCTCTATAGCTCACCACATGTTACCTTTTTACTGCAGATTACATTCGCACGTTTACCTGGGACAAAAGGCTTGAAATGGTGGTGAAGTCTACAGGGATCTTAGGAGGCCAAGGTGAGTCTCAGAAGTGTTTCCACATGATAGCAGCTGCTAGTTTTCCTCCCTCAGTCCATTCTTGTTCTGTCCCTTCATTCTAAAGCATAATTCTCCTCAGTATAAATATGAAAACATAATGTTGAAAGCAAAATGCTGAATACCCGTTTTTAAAAAAAAGTATCAGTCCTTTATGAAAACGTTTTCAAGGCAGATTTTCTTCTAACCCCTAAAATAAAACAATTCTAATACTTTACCACTAATCTTAGTTTTAGAAAAGAGACTTGGATATAATGGTTTTGAAGGGGGGGGGCAGGGCAGTACTTGAATTACAGGGGGAGAGGGCATTGGTGGCCCAGCCCTTTCTTATATTTTCTGCTGCCCTATTCCAGCTACTAGTTTTGGATGCTTTCAGGAAGCATGAATTATCTAAACTGGAGGAAGAAAGTCGGAGGAAAGAAATTGTGGATTCCATTAAGGGCCCTCCTACCTTTTCCTCTCGCAATTTAAATATTGTTCCAGATAGCATCCTTTTTATCTTAGAAACATCAGCATTACTACTATTATTACCTTTATAATCTATATACCACCTTATTTGCTAAAAGGCATCAAGGTGTTGGAAGAGTTTGAAGAATCGCATAGTTTGCTCTATTCTGAATACCAGGCAGGTGGAAATAAATTCACAGTTTAGAATCACCCTTTCTTGCCTGGCCCTAAATACTTGTTTGGAAATATCATCCTATGATTTTGGCATAATATCCTTTGCATGGCAGCCTGACACTTTGTAGTATCCCATTGCTGAAATGGAGTGCATATCTTTCCAACTTGGTGGTGGTAAGTCCTGAGTGAGAATTACTAGTTCATTTGAAGATCATGACTTGCAGATGGGTATTGTCAGCAGTTTGAGTAGGAGCAGCATATCATCATATACTCCAGTTGGGTTTTGAGATTTGGTTCCATTTTTTATTTCCATCATATCATTTGCACAAATGCCTGCTTACATTCTGTCCATTTGTAAATGAGGAAAAATAAATTCCTGAGGGGCTTGCCCTGAGATTATCTGGGTATAATGGTCTTTGGAACAGCATCTAGTGTTTTAAGGCCTGTTGCCACACACAGTCTTGACTAAAAATCTAAATGTCATAACAAAATGTAGCCATTACTCTGTTTCTGCTGACTCAGAAAGTTAATTCCTAAGATATCTTTTTTTGTATGTTTGCCTGAATTATTAGGTAAAATGCCTACTGTAGTTTCTCCAGAATTGTACCGTACCAGGTTTTGTGAAGCGATGGACAAGTATTTTTTGATGGTACCAGATCACTGGACCGGACTGGGCCTGAATTGCTAAGGTAAAGCACCTGTCAAGTGATGCAATGGAATAATTTCTTCTGGTTCAAAAAGAACGCAGCTGCCATTCCTCCCACAATTCAGTCTCTCCAATCGCAGCTAACCGATCTCCAGCCACTGCCATCAAACTGTGTGTGTCTAAGATATGAAGTCTGCGCTTTAGGTGTTGGAACATTAAGGAAAGAAGCTGGAGCAGAATCACTCAGAGTTACTCAGAATCAGAACTGTAGTTTCACAAGGACACAAAAGGGACCCTGAAGCAGGCAAGCCTCTCACCGTGGTGACATCATTCACAGGTTGCTATAAATCACATTGGAGCACTGAAGCCAGTTTGTGGGGATGACTTGCATAGAAGAAGCCTGTGGCTTTTGCGCATGGTATAAAGTGTCTTAATATGAAAAGCCAGTGGGCATTCTGGCCCCAAATCAGGCTGTTGAAGCTATCACACTGGGGCTGTTGCTGTCTTTAAAATGTACTTCTCAGTGCTGAGGAACCAAGTAAGTCTCTTAATAAGGCTTCTGCTGTGTGACAAGAGTTGCTTCTATAAGAATTATTTGTGATATTTTGCCTGTTCTGCACTGATGTTGTTTTTACGTATTTCCATGAGCAGTATTTGATGAGGATTTTAGCCATTTATCTACATTCCACTTCATTATTTGTAGCCCTGCTTTCTTTTAATGGTAAAAAAACCTCGATAGAGTCAAACATTTTAGTGATGGGCAACTTGTCCCTTTGTGTCCCAGCTTAGGTTCATCAAAACTCCAAAAAATATAGCTGTCCTTTTTCATATGGAATGCACCACAAACCATTTTTTCTCAGACGGAAGCTCTTTGACTAGTAATTTCAGTTCATATCCAAAAGGGCCTGCCGCTCCCAGCAGCCCTAGTCCAAATGGTTGGTGGCAATGAATGATGGGAGTTGTAGACCAGAACACTTGGAGGGGCCCAGGTTGTCCATCCCAATTCCCCTCTACCACTCTCCCCTCCCATTCTAAGTACTACCAGAAATAGTCACTTTTCCTATATTCCCCTCCCCAGCCTCACTCCACCTGAGGCACATGGTTACTTTTGATTATTTTTTCATTCAATCACTAATGGCTGCCTTAAGGAATCAGTCTGCCACTTTAGATAATCCTGGTTTCTTTTCTTTTTAGTACCATTTTAGGAAGGCAACATTCAAGTCTCTACACACAACACACTTTGGTTGTGTGAACAAATGGGTTCTTTCAAGAAAAGTTCTTTTGGCACTGTGAAAACTCATTTTGGGTTTTTGTAGATGCTCTAAACAACAGATGGGTTGTGTGCCACAATAGACCAGATTCATGGAGATCTAGACATCTGCACAACCTCAGAATAAGCACTTTTTAATTTTTTTTCCCTGTAAGTATGAATGTTTACTTGAGTTTGTACATAATAAAGGCCAGTAAAAATCAATGTGTTTGTCATGAAGGAGGCCAGACAATGGTCCTGATTGTATTTGGTTTGAATAAAAATACAGGCCAATGAACTAGATCTGAGATTAGCTCCCCCTTGCAGTCAGCTTTCTTTGGGCAGCAGGGAGCCATGAGCCTATGCTGTAACACTCTCATGGTCTGGGGGAAGGTGAGCGCCGTTTCACTCCTCTAGTTCCATTGTAAACAGTAAGGAAATTCCAGCACGGCTACATTGTTTTTCTGTAGAAGCCCCCCCCCTCCATAGTCACGACATGTACACCATATGATGTGGGTGGAAGTCTCTGCAGAATGTTGAGAAGCTATCTCAAAGATTATTTGTAAAGCCAGATAAAGCATATTGTGTGAACACAACCCTGAGAGGTTTATGTGCAAGTAATGTTACTCTGGCTTACAGTGAACTGTCATATCCAGGATCTATGTTGGCTACCTCTCAAAATGGGTGGAAAGCAAATTACTTCAATTGATTCAAGACTGCAGTTGTATGGCCTTTTAATATTAAAATAGAGAGCCAGTTTCAATAAATGGGTGTTTGTAATGGAGCTTTGGCCCCTTTATATTCTCTCTCCTTTTTTTAGAGCTGCTAACCTTCTGCCTTAAAGCTCCATAAAAACTTCTTATAATTATACATACGAGTATTGGCTGGTTTAAAGTAAAGGTTGGAACAGGTTGTGTGAGTTTACAGTATGTTATCCAAGTGGCATTCCTTATAGCTGCTTCTTAAAAGACTTGTTTTTGGTAATAGGCCCGAAGATGATACATTTGGATTATGGATAGCATTGGTGATGAAGAGTGCAGTTGTGTACAAATTGTAGTCTTTTCATAGATAAACCATCGCTCCTTCTTTCAGATAATATGACGCAGAAATGGACAAATTCCCTTTCTGTGTCTTGGAAGAAAAAGAATTGCATTATACAATACTGTACTTTATATGCTATATGCTTGTATTTGGGTATGACTCACAAGGGCAAAATTAGACATTGTAGGGCAGGGATGTCCACTTCCATTCAAATTTCAAGTTCCATGTTCATACACAAAAAAAGTGTGTGTGTGTGTGTGTGTCTGTGTGTGTGTGAGGGATTTATGAAGTGTGGAACATGTGGGTGACAGAGGAGAAAAATCCTCCCTGTTCTGCCTGAGCTCACTGTGCTCAGTAACTTCAAGCAGTTTTCTCCCTTGACAGGTTTGTTTCTAGGGTTGGTGCTGAGCTGGGACTAAATTATACCAACAGATTTTATTTATTTATTTAGGATATTTGTATGCTGTCCTTTGCAAAAGCCTCAGGACGGCTTACACAAATAAAATACAAATATCTAACATAACATAAATTAATTAACAACTCACTCTGGCTGCAATTAAAATATGATAAAATTCAATATTAAAATTTATTAAAATATTGATTAAATAAAAAGGTCTTAACCTGGCACCGAAAAACATATGACAGTGCCAGACGGACCTCTCTGGGGAGTGCATTCCATAGATGGTGTGCCATCACAGAGAAGGCCCTCCTCCGGGTACTCTGTCTCCTAACATCTTTCACAGAGGGTTCCCAGAGGAGGGCTTCTGCTGCCGATCTTAGGGGGCAGGAGGGCATGTAGGGAAAAAGACATTCCTTTAGGTATCTTGGTCCCAAGCCGTTTAGGGCTTTATAGGTAATAACCAACACCTTGAATTGAGCCCAGACTTCAATGGGAAGCCAGTGTTGCTGACAGAGGACTGGAGTTATGTGAGAATAACGCCCAGTCCCCAACAGCATCCTGGCAGCTCTGTTTTGCACCATCTGAAGTATCCGGACTGTCTTCAAGGGCAGCCCCACGTAAAGCGCGTTACAGAAATCCAGCCGGGAATTAACCAATGCGTGTGTTACTGTTGCTAGGCAATCTTCCTCCAGGTAGGGATGCAGCTGATGGATTAGCTGAAGCAAAGCGCTCCTCGCCACCGCAGTCACTTGAGTTTCCAAGGACAGCTCCGGGTCGAAGAGCACTCCCAAGCTGTGGACCCTGTCCTTTAGAGGAAGTGCAACCCCATCCAGGGCAAGGCCCAAGTCACCTACCCAGGAGCTCGAATCACCCACCAACAGAACCTCCTTTTTATCTGGATTGAGTTTCAGTTTATTGATGGAGGTAAAGTGGCCATAGTTTTGCTGCCCCCCTTGGGTGCTTCATTTAATGCACATACCAAGCACACACCTTTATAGTTGAACAGGGCATATGCAAATACGGAATAAGAGCAAGTGGCCCTCCTTTTAGGTCTAGTTTGATTTTGGCCCTAAGAAGTAGCCCATTGCTTAGGCAGTAAGTTAAAGTATCATTCAGGTGTGTATTTCTGACTGCCTAGTGATGGCACAAAAAAACAAACAGGTACTTGGAGGAAAAGAGAAGGACCAAAACCTCCACTGATCGCAAAGGCAAGTATATTGCAAAATATATGCAAGAAATTTTTGTTTCTTCCAGAAATTTCTTTTTCTTAATTTGGCCAGTTAAAGCCATGTAAATTATCCTGTGTTAAAAATGGGTGCATAGTTGCAATACAGGCAACTTCCCCTGAGACATGAACATGATTTCTGTTTGTTGTTCCTCATATTTTGTTTTGTTTGAAATTCTCTGCAGGAAGAAAACTAATTCACCAAGGCAGCATGTTATAATACATGCCTGTCTTTGAAATTCTAATTTTATTCTTTCAGGGAGGTTTATTTATTTTACATGGATCATTTAAAAGCGTGATCCTTCACTGAGAGTTTAATGTTGGACTGTTCATTCTATAGCCTGTGTATTCTGCCACAATCAGAGCCAGATCCTTCACCAGATTGAGGCTGATGCTATCAAGTCCAGCAGGGATTCTTTCCCATGCAAGCACGCCATTCATAACAAACACTGTCTCTTAAACAGTGCATACTTGCAACTTCCACCAAAATGAATGAAGTTCCAAATGCAGGAATCCTTTCAAAGCAAACCCAGGGGGTTGGGACATGTGACATAGCTTTTTTCTCTTCTCTAAGATTCTCCTTTTCATTTCAGGTTTTCTGATTATTACTTCCTCCACTTTTGAGAAACCAGTAAATACCATTCATCAGATTTACATATCTGAAACACTTATGACAGGCACCCAAAGCCAGATGGGTTGTGATAAAGTTCTTCTTGTTATGTAGAAACTGGGTGCTAATGCAGTATTCTGAAAGTACATACTTCTCAGTGTTTAAGGTCTGGTTAATGCAACATATTCCTTTTATGGTTGCTGTATGGATGTCATTTCCATGTGCATATGTACAGTAAATAATCTCTGCAGCCTGTGGAACTGATGTGCTGAGTTACTCTTGTATTTGGAGGCAGAGAAGAGAGAAGGGGATGTCTGAGACCATTTGAGGACTTGGCGGAGAGGCAGCTTTTCTGTGCTATGTCTGTTTCTTACATGGCATTGCAGAATTGCTCCTTCACAAACTTGGTGGGGCAGGACTTGTTAGGCCAGTGGGGTTGTAAGGTACCACAAAACATAGAATCATGTCCCTTAAAATACTGCACACAACCAGAAACTATGTTGAAAGCACTTATTTAATATATCTTAAAATATAAATATTTATTCTACTTTGTTCTGGGTGTATTTTTATAAGCCTGACATCTAAACTATTTAATTATGTTGGCTACTCCATTTACTAAATTGTATATAGACAGAAAATAAAGTAATTAAAATAACTGTTGTGTCTTACTACTTTATGTCATCATAATCTTGAAAACAGGCTTGAAAAATATTGACTTGGAGACAGTGTGCAGTGAAGTCACTACTTGAGATGTCTGAGGAATTCAACCCTTCTAGATTTTGATACAAGTGGGGAACAGCATTTAGTTATCTGCTGCATCAAAAGCATCTCCAAACCAGTGTTTTTCAACCACCAGTTGGTGGACTGGCGCCAGCCTGCAGGAGATTTGCTGCCGGTCCATGGGTGGGGGGGGGGGCACATCCTACTCACCACAGACTGGTACAGGGGCTGGCTGTGCTCCACCATCTCTTCCTCAGTTGGCATCACATTCACGGGGTGCACCGGTTCTGCTGGGGGAGCTGTGGAGGGGAGATACGGCTTGGTGGGAGCTGGCTGGGAGCTACACTGCACCAATCCTGGTGTTTCGTTTTTGCTGGCATTTTTAGCTACTCAGTTTCTCGTTGTTTTGGAGACTTTTCTTTTTCTTTTGTTTTTGGCATTGTGTTTGGAAACCAATACACAGAATGTTCTATTATGTGTATGGTGCTTTTTGTTTCTGCCTCAACAGTCCCCAAGGTGGTTTTCCTGTTTCTGCTTGTTCCCAGCTGTGGAAAGGTTGAAAACCACTGCTCCAAAGAACACAGTCTTGCCCCTTTTTGCCTGTACAATGACAAAGCTCCAAAATCAAAGCAGCAAGAGTCTCTGAGGATCTCTCACCACCCTTCGAAGGTAGACCTGATCAACCTCAGGGACCTTACACTGCCTTCCCAAGTACCACAGGGTTTCAGTTGAACCAAAGTTATACAGTAATACAGCACTACAAGCCAAGAACAGATTAGATTAGAAGTATGTTAAAAATATACTCTCTAGAAGAAATGCCTAAACCATGGTATGTATCTATCTCTAAATGGAACAGAGTTATTCAACTATCCTGAAATACAGAAACAGATGATCACAAAAAGAGCTCTTCAGTCTTCATTCAAACAGCTAAGAATGCACAAACAATGTCAATTCTTAGTCTTCCATGGGGTGGCAGGTGAAGATCCACTTCATCCATCAGTGGATCATTAGATGGCCATTATGGCTGTGATATCAAAAATAAGCAAATTAAAATGAAAAATTATACTGCAATCCCGGACAGCCTTCCCAACACATCATCAGTGTCATGCTGGATCCTTTTGATGGAGTTAACCACTATGGCCCCAAGTTGCTATTCAATTCACTCTAACACTTTACATATACCCTGGATTATATTAACTTCCTTTAAATTATAGTTGCTATTCACCTAA